CAATGACTAGCAACAGAATTGTTTGGATTAAGAAGAAATGCTTACCTCTTGATTTGGTAGGCTTTCCAATTGGATGACAGGTGGACAGATTAAAAGTTGGTATATGTGATGCACTAAAATCACCTTAGCAATGTACTACTCGCCCCAAGTAATATAATGATGAGAGAGTGTCGAACCCACGAGGATTGTGTCTAACTAAGTACCAAAATAATTAATTTAAATTTATTTGAACAATCAAAAAGAAAGAAACTTTAATTAAAAATAATGAAAAGAAAATAACAAATAAACCTAACCAAGATAGGAGGTACTAAGGCATTGACTTCACCATAATCAATCAATATAAATTTTGGATAACCAAATTGTTGAGTGTTATTGCATGTGATGGTGGATTTCCCTAAATTAATTAACTAGATTTTTCAAGTCAAGTTAATCCTTCACTTGTTTGTTAAATTAATCATATCTCTATGTAATTTTAAACAAACTTATGAGCATTAAATTCTATGGAAACCTCATATACATCAGATCAAATCAAAATTACAAGAGAACCCAAAGCTTGGCATAAAATTAGAGATAGATTTACAAATCTCAAAAACCCTAAAGTTGTACTCGATTTTGATATAAGAAAAAAGTGGATGAGAAACTCGGGTTAGAGAGTGTAATTCGGGGGAATTGGAAGCTAGCAAGAGGATGAAATCAACCCAAATACTTGTCTCTTGAACGAAATCAACCCATTAATATAGAAGAAATGCAGAGGATTAGGAAGAAATCACCCGAAATCAACACAAACTCACCTACTGACCTCCTTTCGTTGATGGATTAGAGTCGAGCTTTTGAATTTTGAAGTTAGGTTTGAATGGGTTTTTGAGTTTTAGGAAAATTGATTCCAAATTTTGGAGATTTAGGAGGGAGACGGAAATACTTAGGTCTACAAGGGGAGGGAAACTCAGAATTTGGGGAAGGAAAATTGGGAATATTTGGAGGGAAGGGAAAATGTACACAGACAGCTAAAATAAAAGAGGAAAAAATCATGTTTAAGAAACAGTCAGTTATACAAATAGAATAGGTGAATCCGTCTGTATACATAGATTTATACAAATGAATATTGATAACCGTTAGAATATATATACTCTATACAGATAGAAGATTAGTAAACCGTTTGTATAAACCTAGTCTATACTAACGGATATATTTTTTTCGTTGGTATAGACCATGATTACTGACTGTTTATGTTTTTTGTTGGTATAAATCCGTGTATACTGACTGCTTATGATTTCCGTTGGTAGAGACCCGTATATATAGACGAATTTCAATCCGTCAGTATAGACTTCCATTGGTAAAAGGCATTTTGCTTGTAGTGATACCATATGACTTATATTTATAATCTTTTATTTTCAACAAAAAAAAAAATATCATCAAATTATTTAAATAATTAATTAGAGAGAGCAAATTTTAGGTAATACTTAAAAGAATTAATTTTTTTAAATATATCAAACTATAAGAATCTACTTTTAAAATTGTTTAAAAATTTAATTTTAAAATATACAAAATCTTACTTAAAAATTCCTAAGCATCTAGCGAAAAAGAGTTGATGTATCTTCTGAAAAATGCCGTGCCAGTAATTATTAGGACGTGCAAAAAGCAAATTATTGCTATGTGAAAATGTTTTGGCAAAAATGATGCCAAAGGACTTGTACGGGTATCCAACATTTAATGCAGGATTTCAACTACTAAAATTTTCCGAATTCATGACTCAAAGTCAAAACACTCAAATTTCCTATCTAATTAAATATTAGATGGAAAACTTTAAATTGTTGATGTTGAAAGAAAATCTTAATACACATGATTCACTCACAATTACTCTCCATCCTGCTTTTTCACTTCACTATCTTTCGCTTGAATCAGTTACTCTACTCAAATCAATTAAAGCCAACCAAAACAAACGACTAAAACGTTGAATCAAAGTAATTGAACAGTAATCACTAAAATAGAAATCAAAGTACATATTAATTAAAAAGAACCCGTATGACTAGAAGTTCCTTCAATGTTGCATTAGATTTTTTGCTGAAACCTCTTAAATCTTATTAATATCTTAGCTAGCACTGGACAACTTTTTCTATAGGTAGAACCTCACATTTGCACAGCAAATAAAAAACATTAACATAAATAGTTTATAATTAACAAATTTATAAAAATATGTCAAAACTTATATAACTCTAACAATGTAATGTAATGTATTCCATAACTACGGCTGAAATTCGTAGTGAAATTATTGTTTATTCCACTATTTCCTTTTCTAGCTACATTGGTACACTCTCAAATTTTGGCAAAAATTTATTTTTAACCCCTCATCTTGTCAAGTTTAAAAGTTTTAATCCATTATTTTATACTATAACATTTTTAACTCTTCTCCTTACTAGATTTGTAGGTTTTAACTCCTCATATATTAAATTCAAAGAAAATAGCCTTCACTTTATCCTGACT